CCCGGCGGGGGGATGCCAAACTCGTGCCCGTGGTGACTCCCGCCTCTCTGTAGCTCCCGCCGCCCCGGTTGATTGCTAGTGTTGATGGCGTTTTAAGGTCTCTTAGGAAGTCTCTGTCTCTCTGTCTCCCCCGTCCCCTCTTCCCATGTCTGTAGCCTACGGGTTGGCCTGCTTTCTGTTTTTTGGAAAGTCCGTCTCGAAGAATCAATGCCTTTCTCTCTCTCTCTGTCTCTCTCTCACAGGCTGTAAATTGAACTCCCTCCCTCCCCTCAATGATTAGCTTTATTATGGCTTTTGAAATGCTGGAATCTGGCTTTACCTATATCTGGGGTTGGTCTTTTTTTTTCTTTCTTTCTTTCTTCTTCTTCGTACGTGAAATCAAACTGCTGAAGGGAAAAGCAAAGCAAAGCCGAGCTAAGAAGCACTGTCTTTGCGCAGCCACGAATGCCTTGACTCTGCTCTCGCTGGTGCCCGGAGACTGCTGTAGAAACTGCCTTAAACAGCCCCTGCCCCCCGCCCCAGCCCAGCGCCTCTGACTATATGTATATGTTGATTTGAGTAATTATGTTATTTATTCCTTATTTATTTATATTAATGATGAAGATTATTATTTGATGGCGAATATTTTTTATTGCGCTTGCCCCGCTCCCCTCCCTCCTGCCATTTCACTGTGCGTTTTACCAGGGTTTTTTGGTTCGTTTTGATTCCCGCTCTCCCCTCTGTTTTTTCTAAAGGGATCTGCTCAAAAAAGAAAAAAAAAAGAAAAAAAAGAAAAAGGTTTTAACTTTTGTACCTAAAAAAGAAGTCCGTCCCCCAGGGATGAAACCATTGGACTGCGCTTTCCCAGGGCACAGACAGCTCTCGTGCCGCCGCCCGCTCTCACTTTTAGATGCAATCTCTTTTCTACACACATTATTTTCTTAACTGTTAGCTATTTATAGGATGGCTTGGATAGAACTGTTTCGACTGTATAACTATTTACTATTCAAATAAAATATTTTCCAATTCAAAGGCCTCTGAGGTGTCTCGCGCGCCGCCCGGCAGCCCCGGGGGCTGGTGCCCGTTGCGGGGAGCGGGGCCCGGGCCTTGCTGGTTTTCTTCCCGAAGCCGCCGGGGATGAGGCGGGGCCGTGGGGAGCCCGTGGCTCCTGAACCTGACCGGTCGGCGGGGCCGGAGTCACTCCGGAGCGCGGGGGAGGCGCTCCCCCGCCGGCCGCCCCGCGTCATTGGCCGGCCTCAGCCCGCGGGAAGTGACAAGCAGCCGCCCCTCCCCCGCTTCCTTCCCTCAGAGCTGCTCTCTCCAGGGCTCCTGTGCCAGCACCCCCTCAGTGTGAACACACGCGTGGGAAGAGCCCTTCTCCCCACCACAGGCCAAGGCACCCTCAGGGCAGGGAGCTGGAGGCACCCAGCAGCCTGTCATCCTCAGGGGCACAGGCCTTTCCAGGCACTGGGGGGATAAGCCCTGCTCCCCACCAAAACACAGCCCACTCAGGTGCTGGGGGAGCCGCTGGGACTAGTGAGATGTGTGCCTCATAGCCCCCGGAGTCCCCAAAGCAGCCCCAGTTTTCACTGAGCGCAGGGAATAAACTGAACTCGCCTCTAAGGTGAAGGAAAGCAGGTAGAGCAGCGTTCCTCAACCCATGAGTCAGGACCCAAAAGTGGGTTGCAAAAATATTTGGAAGGGCTGTGAACAAACTTCTCTTTTAATGTAGAAAAATGTGGGAAATGGTGGCTTTTCCCTTGTAGGCTGGCAGAGGTCCACACACTGGGGGGGGGGGGGGGGCCAGCCGGTCAGGAGTGAGGGGCACCAGGGTTGGGACTGGCTATCAATGTTTCCAATTGGGCCGGGTACAAAAAAGGTTGAGAAGCACCAAGGTGGAGAGCCGCTGTAGGCACTGTCTGGGGGCAGGTGGGAGCCAGACACAAGGCCTGCCCAGATGACCAGCTGGGGATGGCCCTGGGCAGAGCTGGCTCAGTGGCAAAGGGAGAGTGAGGAGCAACCTGCCTTCCTTTGCCATGGGACCATCACTCTAACAGTCACACCCCGCCAGAAAAAAACACAGGGCTGGGGGAGCTCGCTGTCTTGTCCCAGCTCCATCTGCTGTGTTTGGCTTCTTGAGGATTAAACATGGGGCGAGAGAAATATGATTAAGTATGGTGGGGGAATGGAGGGAGATTTGGGTCCAACCTCCCACGAGGAGCACGACTCTCCTGGAAGGTTCAGCCTAGGAGCTAGGATTCCCAAATTCCAAAGTAAGATTTGGCACCTGCCCCGTTACTGGCTAGTTCTAGTCAGACTCTGGCTGGTGGACAGTTTCAGGAGCCCCCACCAGGAAAGAGCATGGTTCCCCGTACCTCAGTGGTCCCAATCTGCAAATGGCTAAGGTCCCCAAAGCCATGGAGAGCACACCGAGCAGTAGATATCCAGGGCACAAGCAGCAACAGAAGTGTAAGAAATCACATAGCCCTTCAGCCAAAAATCTTGTGCATGGATAGACAGGTGTGCCCCTATTCTAGTACTGACACAAGCTATAACCCTGTGCTGTTGGAGAGCTGCACTTTAAGATTTAAAGCCATGGAACTTGTCTCACCTAGTTGTTGGTAGCTCACGATGTTTGCCAGTATACTAGACCAACCCCAAAAATGTCTATAGGCAGGGGGTCCCTATGCAATAACTGCACCGGTTTAAGTCGGACAGAGTTTTTCTGAATTTACCAAATTTCACCAAACCATTATAAACCTGGTTGGTGCAGACCAGGAAAAGAGCATCCTCAACATGGATGCACCTGGTTAACCAAAAATGGTTTAGCCAAAGAATAATGCAAGTGATGCAACTGTTGTTTCCTTTGCAGAGAAAGAGAGTGAGAGAAAGCGCACAATGCCAGCCTAACCCCATTACAGTTGTGCTAGCTGCACGAACGTCAACATCCATGCCTTGTTAAATACAGGTGTGTTTGGAGTTTAGCTGAGGTTGAAAATTTTCAGTTGCAGTATTTATATATTTTTTTATTTTCATCTATTATAAAAATATATTTTCAGTCATCTTTGTTCTTGATGAAAGCATAGTAGAGGTGTTTGTTAGAGAGAGAAAGAGATGCTTGTCTGCAGCAGTGTCCCACCTCATTTTGGTATAAACATGCTTGTTCCATGTGTGGTAATCCCTGTGCAGATTTCCCCTTCAGGCAGTGGTCTCCAGAACCTGCTTCTGCAAATGGCTTTGATGGTACGTTATACCCAGAAGAGCCTCCCCCCAAAAAAGGTTTTCCCAGACAAAGTTATGTGCCTGCTAAAGCTCCCTGTGGTAAAGCCACCCATTTAAAAAATCTCTGCCCCAAAGGGGCTTTTCTCTTGGAGAGGCTGCTGGGGTGATAAATCATTAGAACTGGTTTTATGGGATGAGGAATTGGATTGTTTGCACAAAAAACACTAGCGGTTTTAAGAAGCTGTATAACAAGAGTAAGAGGCATTCTGACAAAAACCCTGCTTTTGGCCCCATCCAGACTATACCTGCTTTCCTGGAGCCTTGGGATCCAAAGGAACCACAGCTCAGGTGCAGCTTGGAATCACCTGGTCGGTGCGTCCTGCCAACTCCCAGGTCAGGGGAATAGGCTTCTCAGAATGAAGACAAGCACGTTTCTTGCTATTTTTCTACAGTTTTACTTTGAAGGCAGCCTGGTTGTGGGCATAGGAGCCTCAAGGCTTCAGCTTCAAGTAGTCCCAGAATATAATGTTACCCAGATTTTCCTTCGGGGGGGGGGCGTTGGGACTTTCTATCACTTCTCCAATGTGATCTTCAGCAAGGAGTGGTGGCAAGAAAAATGGTTTCCATTGACCAGCTCTGCACCTCTTACACCTGAGAGGAGCTTTTGGTGGGTTTGTCTGAAGAGAGAGTCCACAAGGTCACAATTTTGATCAGTGTCCAGCTTTGTTGAAGAAGCTGAGCAATCAACATACAGTTGTTCCACTTCCGTTCTGGTGACCTGCACAGTGATGCCAAGCTTCCCCTACTGCAACTGGGGAAAACACCAGGAAGGAGTGAAGCTGTCCTCTTCTTTGTCTTCCTTTTTGCACTGTCTGCCACCATCTCAGCTTACCATTTCACAATCCTGTAAAATTTTACACTTGGGGGCAGAGAGGAGGGAAGAGAAATTGTGTGAGGCCAGCAGCTTTTCCATCTACTGGATGTGTAAGTTGACTTCTTAGGCATCAACGTGTGATTCTGTCCCACCCTGCTCAAGTCCCTGAAAAAAAACAGTGAATGTAAACAGGTGGTGGGTCCTACTCCATGCTTTTTTTTTTTTTTTTTGGTGATTGTATCTTTAGGGTTGCATGAGGGTGTGCTAAAATAAAATAGAGGCATTCATGGGGTTTCAGGACCTGAGCAGGGTGGAATAGAAAAGTGCTTCGGTGCCTAAGACCACTTAAACACCTCATAGAAGGAGCAGAATCTGGTCCCTGATGGTTTGTCAGGAAACTTTAACAGATACCTTGGTAAGCTGTTCTTGAATTTAAACCAACTCTTGCCAGCACACATGCACACGAGGTAGAAATTCACATGAACGTCAGCAATGCCACAGCTGTTCCAAGCTGAGTACTTCATATTTTCACCTTATTCTAACAGATCTGACTGGTTATGCCAACAAGGGTGTCAGCTACTCCACTAGTATAGTGCAGCTGTGCAGCCTGGCATACAGGTGCTCAGGGGTCATGCTGGGGGTGGCGAGAAACAGTCCAATAACCAACATGAAGTCAGCCTGGAGTTTATCCAGGCATTTAGCTAGGTCCCCCCCATCCCAAACTAATTTGTATCAGCTACACCAGCGGTGTTAGCTTACACCTGGGGCTCAGGACCAGATCTGGCCTGTGGGGCTCTGTGAGTGCTGGATTGAGCCCAGGGCATGTGGGTGGCCACAGTGGTAGCAAGGGGGTCTGGCAAGGGGTCCAGGTGCACAGCAATGGTCCAGAGGTTGCAGCGATAGCAAGCTTGGATCTGGCCCGCAGGCTGTAAGTTTGACACCTTTGAACTACAACACCTATCCCAAGGCAATTTTTTTTTCGCAAAACAGGTGAAAGGAGCTCTGGGAAACCCTTGGGCTCTGCCAAATTAATTGCCTTGCTCACTTGTCTTGCCTCTCCCTGACTGTCGGCAGTATAGCACAGAGATTTCTGAGTCAGCCCCCTCCCCATCAGGTCACTTAGCTCATATGAACTCCATCATATTGCAGCCAGGCTAGTTTGCCCTGCAGTATGATTACACTCTGCTTTTGAAAGGCAACAGAGAAACACGTGGGCATGCCCCCATTCCTCGCTCATCCTTGCAAAAGGCTGTCTGAACTACATCCTCATGTCCTCTGAGAGAAAGTAGGACAGTCCAGGATGCTGTGGGCAGGGTGGTTGTTGACTGGGAGATTGCTGCAGGACTCATTTCTCAGGAAGCCTCAAATCGCTTGATGATACTGCTGAACTTGGAGCAAGAGAAACAGCGATCCCTTTTTAGAAACCAGAGCCTGCTGGAACCAGCTGGAGCATGTGAACCGACCCATCCCTTCTCTGTTGGTTCTCAGGAAGCCAAACTCTTACACCAGGTCCCAGAACACCAGACTGGCATGTAGTTTTGACTGTAAGTGATAAATTAAAAATGGGAAAGAAGGCAGCTGTCCCTGGGGAGGAGGGCTTTTGTTTCTGTTTCCTCTGTGCCACTGACCCCAGTTAGGACAGCCCTAGCCACCAGGTGGTCATGCCCCAGCAGAACTTCTTATGATCCAAGGTGGCTCTTTGGATCTATTTAATCCAGAAGGACAAAAAGCAAGTGTTCCTCAAGAGAAGTCTGAGGGTTTGTTGAGGGCCTCTTAAGATGCATCTAGAACAGGTTGTGGCTTAGTTGCATCTTTTAAAAGAGCCCTTAAG